TTTCTAAAACCAAGAAATTAAAAATACTTTTAATTAATAAAAAAAATGACCATAAATATATATAATTAATTATTTATTTATTTTGCTTAAATGATAAATTAAAAAATATTTTGTTGTTATAATAAATAAAAATATATATGTCTTTATTTATCTTATATTTAATGTATATAAATTAAATTTTAAACTTTAATTAATTATATAATAAAAATTATTTGATAAAAAATATGATTAATATAATAAACTATATAATATATTAAATTGGTATAAATTTTATTAATATTAATATAATTATTTTATTTTATATTAATTTTTTATGTTTTAATTTTTAAATTATTAATTTTATTAATAACATAATTAAAATTTTGTAAGTGTATTATAGGATATGAAGAATAAAATGAATTAAATTAAGTAGATTTAAAAATAATTTGAAATACTAATCGAAATATATTGAATAAAATTAAAAATCTAAATAAAATTAATAAATATAATTACAATATATATTAATATTGAAATTTAAAATATAGATTACCTATATCAATAAAAAATATTAATGAATATATTATTATAAATAAAATATAAAATATAGATAATATAACTTTAAATCAATAAATATGATATAAATGAAAAAAATACCATAAATTGAATTCGAAAAACTGAAATAGTGTTAGTTTATATGAATAAAATATTCATATAAAACCACATTAAGATATATATAAAGAAATTCTTAATAAATTTATAAAAATTAAAAGATAAAATAAATATAGTAAAATATATTTATTAAAAAATAAATAAATATTAATATTAGAAAATTCAACAAAAAAATATGAATTAAAGTTTACATATTTATATAAATTTAGAATGATAATATATTATAAAATATGTTATTTATATTAATAAATTATCAGTATTATTTTTTAAAATATTTTATATAATAAAAAAATTATTTCTCAGTCTAAGTTAAATATAAAAAATAAATACTTTAACTTAAATAAATAGAATTAACGTAAATATCTTAGTTTTTATCTTAAAAATATTCAAATTTTTTAATATTTTAAAAATTATTTCCTCATATTCATATTTACTTAAAAAGCAAATAAATATTTTATTTTATTTTTTTTAAAAAATGTAATTCAAATAAAACTTAATCACACTATTATTGACAATATTAATTAATATAATTTAAACATAACAATATATTTAAAAACTTATTGTAAATGATTTTAGCTCCCCATAAATAAACTAAGAGGAAAAAAATTAATGGCAAATAAAAAGAATGCAAGGAAATCAAATGCTATCTTATTGTAAAACTGCGGATTACATTTATTAAGATGTTTTTGGCTTATTTTCGAGCTTTGGAAAATAAACTATTATTTCAAGGAAAATTTAATACCCAGAAAATCCTTAAAACTGTTAAGTTTTTTTTGATTTTTTCATTTATAATTAATAAAATGGAGATCTTATAAACATTTTTGAAGAGAATTAGAAAAGTAAAAAAAAAAAATATAAAATAATTTTTAAACCAAATATAAAATAAAAAAAGTATTATCATTAACACTATCTAATTTAAATCTTTACTCAAAATAAAAAACCATATAATGCTTTGAACATTTCAAAAACTAAGAACTTTCTGTAAAGCAATATAAATAAATATACTCTTTATCATATATTCCCTCTGAATCTAATCCAACAATCAGTTTTTAAGCAAAACTTACAGGAAAAAACACTTATTGGGGGTTAAGAAATTTCTAAATAAAATGCAATTACACATAATGTCCCGAAAACTCTCATAAAGAATCCACCGAATCACAACAATGTATATGCAACAAAGGATTCTAATAAGATAAACAAAGCTCATATTTAAAATGTAATTTAAAAATAATATCTTGTGGTTAAAATGCATTCCCTATATAAGGAGAATACGAACCCATATGCACCTGTCTAGAAAAATATAGACCTATATAAGGCTTACTTCCATTGTCATGTGAGCCTATTCCTTGCGAAAGTACATGCCTTGAATGTTATGAGGGAGATTGTGTATATTGCCCTAATTTTTAAAAAATTACTTCAAACGGAAAAGGATGCGAATGTATATTAAAATATGCTGATTAAAACTGCTAGTGTGCTAAATATGCGAATATTATATAAGATAGTTAACTTGGCTAATAATGTGTGTGTCCAAGTAACTCTTAGCCGGTTTTTAATGATAATGTTTATAATTGTGTATGTAATTAAGGATTTACTTAGAGTATTTTGGATAACCAATTGGTTTGTAAATCAATTATTAAATGTGATTCTAGTTGTTTGGCTTGTAAAATGAATAGTGATATTTGTGTAAGATGTCCTCTAAATGCTACTTTGGTGGATAAAAAAAAATGCAAATGTCCTATAAATAGTATACTTTCAGATGATAAAAACGTTTGTTATTGAACTATATGATATGAGATAAAAAACACTTTTTTTTGATAATAAAGTTTGATAAAAATAAGACTAATTTTTATTTTTATTTTTTTAGGAATAATTATTATAAAATGACTAACTTTAAATAAATATATACAATATTATATTTTATTAATTTTTTTAAATTATATATATTAAATTTTTATTTATTTTCTTTTTTGTATATTTTTTTATTACTTTATTAAATAATATTCATTAATTCCTAAGAGTTTATTTAATTTGCAAATTATAAGAATTAAAACAGTTTTAAGAAATTGTACAAAAATAACTAAATTTTTAATATTAAAGTAATTAATTATTATTGAAATAATCATTATATTTTTCAATTTTTATATAAATATAAAATAATTGTTTATAATAAAATAAAATATTTAATAAAATAAAAAGACAAAAAACAATTAAATAATAAAAATTTAAAAAATAAAATAAAATTATTTAAAAAAAAAAAATTTAAAAGCAAAATTAAATAAACAAAAAATTAGTAAAATAAAAAAGTATAAAGAAACAATAAAAAAACAATAAAAAAAAAGAAAAATGGATGGAATTAAAACATTACTTGATAAAATAAGTAATAAATATAAAAAATAAATAATTTAAAAAAAAAAATAAAAAAAATAATTAATAAGAAAATGGCGTTCCAGAAGTAAAATCGCGTTCAATAAATACTTTATATACAAAATTAAATACAAAAATAATTTTAGCAAAAGAAGTATCATAGATCTTTTAAAACATACCTTAAATTCTATTGAATTATATAAATGAAAATTAAGATAAAACAAATCAAACAATATTATAAAAAGTTTTATTAATAATAGATATATTAACATAAGTAATTAAATAAAATAAATAAATATATGCATATATATATGAAAAATAAAAATATATTTATATATAAATATATATATATATATATATATTTATTTATTTATATTAATAATTTACTAGTAACAACATGGAGCATAGCTATTTTCTAAATATGGTGCTTTGGAATATTTTTATGACTTTAAGACATTTTTAGAAAAAGATAGTCTTATTCCATTACCAGATCATATTAAATGTACTGAAAAAATTCTTCGTAATATTGTACTTTACAAAGAACAATTTTAATATTCTGAAAATTCTTAAAGCATTGAATTATAGAACACATAAGAATAATAATTTAAAGTATAAGAATTTTTTACTAGAAAAGAATAATAATAAAACATAAAAGATAATAGTAGTTTTAATGAAATGATATAAACAAATAAAGAAAACACTAATATACAAAATTGTTATAAAAGAACAGAAAAAAATCTATTAATATTTCCATAAATTGACAAAAGAGAAAAAAGATTAGAATTTATTCATTTTCCTTACGTAGAATTAAGCGAAAATGACGAAAAGCTTCTTTTTGATATTGGAGTATAGTTAAAATTCGGCGACAATAATAAAATACTTGATATACTTTAATAAATACTACCTTATGTAATAAAAGATTTCCCTATAGAAATTTATAGGAGAAAATTTGAAATAATATAAGAACTCCTATTCTTAATTTAAAGAGGTGAATCTTTTTCTCATACATTCGAATCAGTTTAGAATCTAATAAAAATAATTTAAAAATTGAAAAAAAGACTAACTTAAATCACTTCTCCTACTGAATAAAATATATACAGTACCCCAAGTTCGCAATATCCTAAAAAAGATTAAGAAAAGGAACCTTATAAGTAATTCAGTTACCCAAATTTAAAAAAAATGGATATTTTTTAACCTGAAGATGATAAATATTTACAAGGACAAGTTTCTTTTTATGAAATAATTAATAATATATTACATATAGTCTTAGAAAATGTAAAGGAATAAAAATTTATAAATTTAGTCCTTCCTTTAATTTCTGAAATAGTCGAATTTTTAAAAGAAATAAAAAAAATAAACATTTAACTAGTAAAAAAATTAATTTTCGATTTTTTAAGTAAAAGTTATCTTTTTTTAGAAAATATAAAAGAAATAGTTTTTGAAAAACTCGAATTTTTAAATTTCGTTTTGCATTTATAATAATTGTTTTGCGTTTTAGAAAATAAAGATATTTAAGAATAGAAAGAAAACCGTATGTTTTTAGATCTTTTTTAAATTTTAAATAATCCTTAAATGAAATTTATATATTCAAAAGAAGAATTTTTATAAATAAATTCTTTTAATGATATTTTTGTGAATAAAAATAATGAAAAAATACATTTAATAATTGATTCTTTAAAAAATATTTAATAATTAAAAGATTAGAAAAATTAAGAAAGTTTTCTTTGTGATAAAGAATAAGAAATTTACGCAGAGAAACTATAAAAAAGTCTATTTGCAGTTTTCTTAGAATAAAAATAAAATATTTATCTTGATTTCTATTTATAATGTTTAGGCGATAATTCCACTTTTTATCCAAAAGCTAGAGATATGCTTATCTTGATTTTAAATTTTTAATAAGATTAAGAAGAAGGGGGGGAATAATAGAATACAGTTTTAGATATGTTAGTCGAAAATATTCACAAAATAAATATCTATTTTACTAATAGAAAAGGAAATTAGGTCTCTTTTTGTAATTTAGTTTGCCAATCTTTACTAGATCCTGTTTTTGCGACAGAATTGATACTAAAAGAAATCTAAAATGAATAAAAAGTTGAACTTTTGGGTTAATTATTGTGCAATTTTGTAAATTTTTATTACAAAGAAAGTCAATAGAATGGACCTGTGGAACATATTTGGAGGTTTTTAGATATTTTTAAGGTATTAAAGGAAAAAAAAAAACGTTTTTTCGACATTATAGTAGAAACTTTTGAAGAAAAATGCATTGAAAGTTGGTTTGAAAAGTGCTTTTTGTTAGATTTATTTAGCAAAGATGAAAAAAAAAGACGTAAAATCGGTGAAATTATTTAAAATGAGAAATTATTAAGCTTTTTTTAATAAAAAGAAGAAAATAATAATTATGATTATTAAATAAAAAAAATAATAAAAAATTAAAATAATTTGTAGGAAAATTTAAATAAAGGAAGGGATTATTTAGAAGAATTTCTTAATGTTGAAAAAAATGAAATTTGTTTTTATGATTATTATGAAAATTTTTGTAATAATAATAATTAAGTAAATAAAAAAAAAAATTAAATATAACTAATGAAGATTTTAAAAATTTATTCGATATTATAATGAATACTAATATTGAAGAATAATTAAAAATATAAGCATTTTAATAGGTTTTAGATTATTTTGTTTATTTAGAAGATTCTTCTTGTTAAATGAATACTTTTTTAGAAGATCTAATGGAAAAATTAGTATTATTTTCTATTAATTTATTTACAAATATAAAAGAAAAAATATCTTAAAATTTTCTTTTGGAAATTCTAAAATTTATTTCAACTTTTCTTGCTAATCTAACTATTTTACCTAAAACGCGTTACTAAGTATTTATATAATAATAATTAATAATTAAAAAAATATATAAATATATAAATAAATAAATATATATATATATATATAAATACTCATATATTTTTTATTTTATAATTTTTTTTTTTTATTTTACTTAGATTTTACTTAATCTGAATAATTAAAATGAAAAGTAACTAAAATATTCTTTAATAAATAATTTAATAAAATTCGAAAAATAAGAAATAAGATATTACAGTTTAAAAATTTTATATATACTTAACTTTAACATAAATCATCACTACTACCGTTACCTCAATTTATCTAACACAATATATAATACAATTTAAATTCCTTTATTAAACTCTTTTTTTATAAATTTTCCTACAAACTCTAAATATTATATTAGGAATCAAAAAGCCAATACCTTTTGGTAATAAATATATCCTATGAATTCTTCTGAAATTTTTTACTTACAAAAATACTAAGAAAACTCCCATAAATCCGAAGATGAATTTTATTAATAATTTCTAAAGGAAAAAATACATAAATATATACAAAAAAAGCTCGAATTATATCAATATAATTAAAAAAACACTTTTTCTTAAAATATAGAATTTATCAAAAACTGGTTTAGCTTATTTTTTGTTTTACAAAAATATGAAAATATTCTTTAAGAGGAAATATTCTTTGAAAAAAATAAAGAAAATTCAAATATGTCTCTTTTTTTTACTTAAGCACTTTCATTTTAAGAAAATAATAATTTTTTCATATTAAAAATTATTAATTATATTTTAAAAAGTAAATACTAAAATGAATCTTTTATTTTGAATATTCTTTAATTTTTTACAACTTCCTTTTTACCTTAAACAATGTAATCTTCCAAAAATCTAGAAAATATTGAAATAATAATTAAAATAATAATTTAATATTCCAAAATATATCCGAAAACCTCCACAAATATTCGCGATTATCTCTCTAAACGCACTTTTACATAAAAAACATTGTTTTTTTTACAAAAATAATCTTAAAACGATCTCTTATTAACAATTAAAATATCTAAAAATATCTAAAAAATATTCTTTTAATAAACACAAATTGATATGTAAAAATTATTTGATTAATTCATGATAACTTATAACCCGAATTTCACATTTCAATCAAAATACAATTTTAAAAAAATACTCAAATTTCTCATTACTAATTACAATAATAACCCTAATTTTAAAATAACCTCACTCGGTTGGCTTCTTAAATACTTAAGTGACCGCGAAACACACATAAGGATGTTAGTATGGAACACTTTACTCAATTTCTTGAATTCTAATCTATTAAAAGTATATAAATCAATGCTTGAATAGGCCATATTTACCATCCTAGATTTCCAAGAATCCACAGGAGTAATATCTTGTGCTTTAAGAGTACTTGTAGAGGCTTTTGATATATGGGAAAGTGAAAATGAGATAGAAGAAGGGGAAAAAATGGTAGAATTTTTATTAGATAAAGAGATTATTTCTCACTTCAAAATACTTTTGGAAGAAAAAAATTCATCGTATATTCTAAACTCAAATATAATTTAATTATTATATAGAATGGCGAGATTTAAAGCTGACTAGGTACTACCTATAATGTTATAAATGGAACTTTTTGAAAATTTAATAAATTTCTAATTAAAAAAAGATAAGATTTTAAATGAAGAAAAATGTGTATTAATATCAAGCATATGCATTTTGGCAAACTTCAGCTTATGTTTTAGCAAAGTAGATTATTTAAATTATTTCTTAAACGGAACTTTTTTAATAAAAAATATATTTAAATAACTAAAAAAATTATCAAAATAATAAACAATGGATTTTATAATGGAAGAAACTGTAATAAATATTTGCAAATTAATACAAAACATATTGTTAATAGATGATGATTTATCTGTTTTTGTAATAAACAAATATGCAGAAGAGGCTTAAGAAGAACGATTAAAAACATAAAATATTAAAAATGAAAATAATAAAAATGACAATAATAAAAATATTAATTAATAATAATAATAATAATAATAATAATAATAATAATAATTCTCATGTTAATATCTTTTATTCTTTATGTTGTCTTTTAAATAAAACCAAAAATGAAAACTCTAAAATAAATATTTTATATATTTCATCTAGTCTATTTTCTTAATGGTTTGGTTAAAAAAGTATAAATTTAATTAATTCAAATTTCTAAGAAAATGTAAAAATTAGTGAAAATACTATACTTTAAAGTTATTTTTTATATAAAAAAAATCTATAAAATTTCCTGAAAGGAGATCTTACTATTGATATTTTTAATTAAAAACGAGAAACTATTCTTAAAAGTACATCTGGTGTACTTTTTGGTTCTTATTTTGCTAAATTAGCATTTTTTTGTTGCGGATATTTTGAAGATATTATAAAAGAAATTAATTTTTGTATTGATTTTATTTAAATTGATAATAATCAATTTTCTAAAAAAAATACTATTAATAATACTAATAATAATACTCTTTTTAAAAATACACAGAAGTTTTAAGCTAAAAGCTTAGGATGTTTATAAGATTTATTTTTATATGTAAATCTTTTGAAATGTGCATTCTTTGATTTTGATAGTAGTGATTAGTTTGACGAAAGTGATAAAATATTGAAAGTACTTAAGTGCAATTAGAATATTTTATTTGAAATTTTATATAAAATTATGTAGATTTCATTTAGAAATGGAGTAAATATATTAATAAATTAAAATATATATATATATATATATATATATATATATTATTATATATATATATATATATATATATATATATATATATATATATATATATTATATACACATATATATACATATATATAATATAAAAAAAAGGATGAAAAAATTGATTGTTTTTTAAAAATTTTAATTAACTTTTCTACAAATAAATTTTTTTCATCAATTTTAATTCTAAGATTAACTGAAAATAAAGGTCCTTCGTTCCAAATATTAAATGATTTACAACAAAACCTATTAAAAGCAGATATAATACTGGAAAACAATACTAAATAAAGCCTTAAAATACTAAAAGTATTAACCTAACACGAAGAAATAAGGAAAGTTTTTTACCGACAAAAATATTTGGAATAAATAAATATTAAACTTTTTGAATTATGGAATAAAAAAAAACATGGAATCCGAATAATAAAAATGCCATCTTTTATGTAGATTTTTTACTATCTTTTTCATTTTTTTAAGATTCACATTCTAGAATTTTCTCCACTAAATAAAATTTCGAAATGTGCGTTCAAATATTATCTGAAACTAATTTCTAATTGAAAATATCTAAAAAATTATTACTAATTTTTACAAATATAGCCATCTCGAATGAATGTAAACCTTATTTTACTTGTAATAATGAATATTTTTTGTTACCTTTTCTTCTTTCTATTATTGCAAGTGATGAATATACAGATGAAATTAGGGCTATTGTATCTTAAATGTTAGTTAATATGGTTTACAAGTGCAATTAAGCGATTATAATGTTAAATAAATAAGAAGTTAGGGATGAAATTAGACTTGTTATTAATGAATTTGAAAGAAAGTTGGATAAAGTTGATGTAGAAAATGATTAAGAAAATGATATTGAGTTTATAAATATTAATTTAGAAAATTTAATGTATTTAAAAGACGTTCTTGTTGGTGAATGGTGATTTATAATTATTTTATATTTTTTTTAATATTTATATTATTATTATTTTTGTTTATTTATCCAACATTTTTTTATTATGTTTTTTAAAAGAAAAATATTTAGAAACATATATTTATTTATTTTTTAAAAAAATATGTCTTTAATACATATTTTATCATTTTAATTTTTTATATATTAATTTAAATATATAAGATAATTTTTTTTTTATTATTAAATATATTAATTACTTATAATTATAATGTGTTAAAATATATTATGTTTAATAAGATTTATTTAAAACATCAAAAAAAATAAATAATTTCCTGATAATTATGTATTAAAATAAATAATTTAATTAATGTAAAAAATACCATTTTGATTTTTGAAAATCAACTCAAGAAAATAATAATTTTTGGCTTTTCATTTTTTAAAACGAAAATATTTATTTTAAGTTAATTTAATTATTGTATTTTCCTACTATTTGAATATAATAATTAAAAAGACGACGATATTTTTTCTCCTTTTTAAAATATTCAGGTCAGGTTTTTGAAAAGGACATAATATTTCTACGAAATTACACCTAGAAAATAATTAGATAATAATTAATTGTAAACAAAAAATATTTGTTTAAATTATTTTTAAATAATAATATTGTTTGTACTAAATAAATAAAATACTGCAAACAATGTTTTACTGATGGATAATTAAATATATAATTAATTTAAATTCAAATATATATATTCCTTAAAGAAATAGTAAATATATATATATTATAAATTAATTTGTATATATATATATATATATATATATATATATATATATTAATATAACATTGTTTTTTTTCTAAAATATAAATTATATATTAGAATAATTTATTAAAATTGCTTCTTTTAAAATTATTATTTTTTGTTTTTTGTTTTTTTGTTTTTTTTTAAAAAAACATAATTATCAAAAAAAAATAAAGGCGAGAAAAACATATTTCGATATTTTTTTATTTAATAAAAACTTAAAAAAAAATATGCTAAAAAAGTAATATATAAAAACTATTTTATACTAAAATGACTATTAAATATATTTAAATTTTTTTATTTTAAATATGATATATATATATATATATATATATACAAAATAAATTAATTTAAAATATATTTATTAATAAATTATCTGCTGATATTAAGTATAATATATATTTTAATAATTTAAAATTTCATTATAAAATTAAATTTAAAAATTAGTTTATAAATAATATATCTATTATAAAAATTATTTAAATTTGAAATATATTTTATATCATTATTATATTTTATTCAATTTCATACATATATATTTTTAGTTATTTATAACTCTTTAATTATAAATTTAATATCATATATTTATAAATAAAAAGGAGAAAATTACTTTATTTATATTTCATGGGCTTATTTAACTGATTTTAGATTTTGTATAATTTATAATTTCTTATTTTGGTATTTATATAAACATTATGAATTTTTCATAAGAAAATATTTTCTATAAATTATTTTGGTAATTTTTATATAAAATATTATTTTATAATGGAATTTTTTTCAAATTTGAAAAAATATTTTTATTTTTAATAATTTAAGAAAAGAAATCAAATTAAATATCATATATAATTTTTCATTTGATTTTTTTAAAATTATTATTATTATAAATAAAATAATTAAAAAAATAGTATTAATTAAAAATAATTATCGAATAATTATTATCTTGATAAAATAAATTATATATAATTTTTTCTTTTTTGTAAATTATAAAATATTTGATATTTATAATAAATAAAATTTAATTATACTATTAAGATATAATATATTAATTTTATTTTTTATATAAAATGTATGATTCGTTACATGATAAGGTAAAATAAAAAATAAAAATTAAGTTACTTTTTTTTTTTTTAATTAAATAAATAAATAATGCAAATTTAATTTAATAATTTTAAATAATAAAAATAATAATTTAATGTTATAAAACTAAATTATATTTCCATTAAATGTTTTATATTTATAATATTAATTTAAATATTTATAAGTTTCATCAAAAAATAAAATTAAAAAAAATAAAAATGAGCAATTTATAAAAAGAAACTAAAATGAAAGAATACCTATAGCAAATAAATCCTCTTTTCGAGAAATTAATACTCGAATTGTTGAAAGTATAACCTGAAAATTTTGTAAAAAATAAAAAAAATACCCAAAAATATATATAGTAAATAAAATAATATTTTTTTAATAGATTGATTTTTCAATTAATTGGCTAAAATAAAATGGTTAAAGTTTTACTCATTCTCACTAAAATTCTCACCATAATGAAAAAAATCATGACCATAATCATGCTCATCATAAAAAATAGCATGCAGGAGTTCACTCAGATAGTGAAGATGAAGATGATGAAGTAAATGATTTTGATTAACAAGAATTTTAAATGAAGCTTTTGTCAAAATAAAGTAATGCAACATAAAGAATTTCAGTTTCAGCAGAAGTTTATGGATAATTTAATAAAAAAACTAGCTTATGTACCAAAAGTAATACCTAAAGATCAAGATTAAAAAGAAAGAATTGAAAAAAGACTGATGTAAGCATTTATGTTTTCTTCTTTAGATGAAAGAGAAAGAGAAATAGTTGTTAATGCTATGCAAGAAGTTAAATTTGCGTAAAAAATATATATAAATTTTATATTAAACAAAACAAAACAAAAATATTTATAAAATAAATTTTAATAGTCAAGGAGATTGGATAATAAAATAAGGAGAAGATGGTGAAGTATTATATGTAATAGATTAAGGAGAATTAGATTGCTTTAAAAGATTTACAAAAGACGGAGAAAATAAATACCTTAAGACTTACTAACCAGGAGAAGCATTTGGCGAGCTTGCTTTACTTTATAATGCTCCTAGAGCGGCATCAATTTAAGCTAAAACATAATCTATTTTATTTTCTTTAGATAGAGAATGCTTTAATAATATTGTTAAAGATTCTGCAATTAAAAAAAGAGAAAGATTCGAATAAACACTTAAAAACGTAGAATTATTAGACTCTATGGATCCTTATGAAAGAATTCATTTATGTGATGGTATGAAAGATATTAAAATATAAAAAAGGAGAATATGTTATTAAAGAAGTATTATTTTTATAAAATAAAATATTATTTATATACTTTTCTTTAATTTAATAAATACAAATAAAAACTAAAGGGAGAAAGAGGAACTAATTTCTATATGATAGAAGAAGGAGAACTTATAGCAACCAAAAAAGATTGTATTATATATATATATATATAATTTATATGATCCTAAAAAATATTAAAAAGAAAATGGAGATTAAAAAACAGTCTATGAATATAAAGAAGGAGATTATTTTGGTGAATTAGCTTTAGTTAAAAATATACCTAGATAAGCTAATGTTATAGCAGTGGTATTTTTTTCAGATATTATTAAAAATTATTTTTCACATATTTTTTTTTAATAAAAATAAAAAAGACGGATGTAAATTTAGTTTATTTAGATTTTGATACATTCAAACGTTTAATGGGACCTATAGAAAATATATTAAAAAGAAACGAAGAAAAATATGCAAAATATAACTAAGAAAATTTAGATAATTTAGATAATTAGATTTGATTATTATAAAAAAAATTATTATTTTCATATTTATTTTTACATAAAAAAAAATTACATTTTATAAATCTTAGAATATTTTTATTTATTAAAAACTTTTTTTTAATAAAATTAATTTAAAAATAATTTTATTATCATAATAAACATAAACTTTATTATTATTATTTTTTTTTTAAAAAAAAAAATAATAAAATAACAAAAAGTATAATATTTTTATAAATATGCTCATTAATATAAATATGTTAATTTATTTATATATTATTTTTATCATTGAAACATTAATAAAATAAAAAAATCTAGTCTTTAATTTTTCAAATTTCTTTAGTTATTTTATTTATCTTTATTTACCATTATTATTTACTTTTTTTTAAAAAAATAAATAAATAAAAAAAAATAAATAAAATAAAATATTAAAACATTTAAATATAATATTTATATTTAAATAAATACTTATTAACCCAATCAGGCGTATTTAATGTAAATTATGACATCAAAGATTTAATTTAATTGCAATCAATTTATATTTTTTTAGGATCTTTATCATCTGATAACTCTTTGAATACAGTATTCTATATAATTTTATTATATATATAAATATTTTTATTACTTAAATATCAGATTTTTTAATTTAATATTCATCGTCTTCTTCTTCATCATCTTCTTAAATAAATTAATAATCTTAATTATTATTGTGCTCATCATTTTCATCTTAACTTTGATTATCATCTTAAATTCTAATATTTTAATTATTTTTTTAAAAAGAACTTTCTATATTTTATTATTAAATTTCATCGTATTTTTTGCATTTATGATAATCTTATTCTATAAATTTTAACTAAGTATTAAATAAATTTTCAAATTAGTCTTAAGAATTAAACTAATATTAGGAGAAAACAGTATTAAAATTTTTAAAAGGATCCATTTTATATAAATTAATAAAAAATTATATAATTTTATTTAAATAAATATATATATATAATATAAATTTTATTAAGTTATTAAAAAATAATTAAAAATATGCCTATTTAAATAAAATATATAACAAATATATTCATATAAATATTTATTTATATGTATATATAAATAAAAATAAATTATAATTATTATTTAAAAAGTTATTTAAGAAAAATTAATTTATAATAGAAAATATATAAGTAATATAAAATAATATAAGACAAATTAAAAATATATCTAATTATAATTAATATAAGAAATAATTTAAAATAGAGGTTGTTAATATAGATTATTTAAGCAAATGTGATAAAATAATATAAGATTAATAAAAAAAATAATATAAAAATAAGTTTAAAAATATTAAAAGGATTAATAGTTTATTAAATAATTAAAAGATTAAAGAATTAAATAAAAAAAATTAACATATTTATTTTTATTTTTTGACGTTTTTAAATATAAATAAAATAAAAATTTTGTCTTTTAAATTTTATGTATAAAAGATAAATATATATAATACTAAATTAATTAATTAATTAAATAATATATAAAAAATAAAAATACATAAAAATAAAAAAAAAAAATTAAATTAATTAATATAAATATATTTTATTAATTAAAGTTTAAATAATAAAAAAAATATAAAAAATATATAAAAAATTTTAATAATTATGAATATATATATATATATAAATATATATATATATATATATATATATTATTATAAATATTTTTTATTTTTGCAATTTTTTTTTTTTTTTATTTCATATTTTTTATATAATATATTTCATTTATTTAATATATTAAATATACCAAGTAAATTTATATATTATTTATTTTCATATTTACTTTTATTAAATTAATCTTCTTATAATTCGATTTCTATTTCGTTTCCTTTTTATTCAGTTTTGAATTTATTTTTCTTATTTTTAGTACCCATTATTTCTTCTTCTCCAATTAAAATTTTATATATAATAATATCAATTATAAACCATTATAAAAATACGAAGAAATAAAAATAACTTAAGAATTTAATAAAATAATCTTCATCTTTTTATTCTCTTGGCTTTACCACTGTTTTTTTATAATATTCCCAAAAATTTATATTTTCCACATCAATAACAACTTCTTTGTCTTCAGGTTTATCAATATGTCTAAAATAATATCTGTTTATATTAAAAAACGCAAAATATTAATTTAAATAATTTATTCTTTATTTCATTATTTCTTATGCTTCCTCTTATGTTTCTCTTTTTGAATTTTAAAACATCGAATGTCTTTTATACATATTATATTCTATTCTTTTCTTATATGTTATTTTATCACCATCAATATCTTCTAAATAATAAGGCGCATCCTTTGCTTTATTTAAAAGATTATTTCTTATATTATTTTATTTAAAATGTTTTATATCTTAGATTCTACTTATTTAATTATTTTTTGCCAATAATAATTTTCTCATTTAATAAGTTATTTTAATATTTAAGAATTAAATTAATATCAATTAATATATTTTAAATTATATTTTTAAGTTTTTTATGAAATTGGTAAAAATAAATATACAATATTTAAGTATTTTATTAAACAATTCAAATAAATATAATTGTTATTTATATTTTTTATTTAATATTATTGTTTGGCATTTTAAAAATAATATACTTATAAATTATATTAATAATTAAATTAATTTTTTTTAAATTTAATATATAAAATATTTATATAATTAATATTTTATTTTAAGAATTTATTAATTCATATAATTTATTAATTAAAAATATAGTTATTTTAATATATATTAAATATATTTTAATCTAATTTTTTTTTATAAATTTTTTATATAAATATTATATATCTAGAGCATGTTTTATTATAATAAGATACTTTATCTGTTTAATTATAAACATTTTTATTTTTTAAAATAAAAGGTATAATTTATTATTATAAATAATTTTAATAAAATAAATCTTTTATTGTTATTTAATTATTATAAAATTATTTTATAAAAATAACAATTAAACTTTTTATTAATATTTATAAAAAAAAATGATAATTGGACCTATAATTTAATAAATACAATAACATCAACTAAAGGATATAAATATTTAACCATAAGAACCTTCAAATAATCATAATACTTTCTAGATTTAATTATTAGCTATGCGTAGACCAAGCATAACCTCAATTTGTAAATAAATATCAACAGATGATTGTTAAAATAACACTATTTTAAATAATAATCACATTATATATGATAAATTAATATAATTAATATAAAAACCTTTCGAATAAAGAGTTTTTTCCGAAAATTAATTTATATAAAAATCATTAGAAAAATTTGAATTTTTTAAAAACATAATTTAAAAATATGAAGAAAATATATACAAAAATGCTGTTTCTAAGCTTCAATATAAATTTGTTGAATAAGGAAATTATATAATCCAAAAGGATGAAATAGGAACTGAAATATATATTATCCTAAAAGGTAAATGTAATTTATTTATAGATGACAATTAAAAACTATAAAATTCTCGTATTATGTATTCACTAAATTTATAATCAAAAAGTCCTTAAATTGCTAAAAATAGTACATATAGTCCTTAAGTTGCTAAAAATAGTGTATATAGTCCTTAAGTTGTTAAAAACGGTTTATATAGTCATTAAGTTATTAAAATAGTGTATATAGTCCTTAATATGATAAAACTCTAAAAATACTAATCTTTAATAAAAATAAAGTGATAAAATTTTTAATTTTTGTAATTTACCCAATGAAGATAATTTAAAATATGTTCGAACATTTTAATAGGGAGATTCATTTGGAGAAAGTGCCCTTTTAAATTAAATTTGTAGAAGGACATCTTATGTATATGCTTATACAAATTGTCATTTATTAACTCTTAATAAAGAAGATTATTTAAAAGTAATAAATGATAGAAAAGGCAAATTATAAAAAAAAATAACTGAATTTTTATAACAATAATATTTTTTAAGGGATTGGAAAAAATAAGATTTATAATATTTAGCGAAAAAATTTTTTCTGGATAAATTTAAAAAAGGAGAATATATATTCAAAGAAAATGAAAATAGTCAAAATATTTATTTTCTAAAAAAGGGAGAATTAATAATCGAGAAAGAAATTCAACTAAAAGAAAGATAAATACATTCAGTAGAAGAAAGTAGACTTAAGATAATTAAAAAAAAATTATTATTGCTTTTTTGGATTCTGGTGAAACATTTGGAGAAGAAATGATAGGTTAAAAAAGACTTTTTTCTGTTGTTGTAAATTCGTAAAAATGTCAGGTTTTAAAAATTCCTCTTAATAAGTTAATTGATTAATTATGGGATGCTTAATCTAAAGCACTTTTTTTGAAACAAATTTAATATAAATAAAATTGGAGATAATAAAGGTTTAGTGATCTTTTAGAAATATAAAATATTATTAATATTAAAGAATAAAATAATGATGAAGAATAATATGTAGAAAAAAATGGTTAAAGTTTCGAAAAAAACGAATAATATATATAAAGAGATGAATATAATTTAGAAAAAGACTATACATATATTAATTAAAAAAGTAATATTAAAAAAAATTTGGGCAAAAGATAAGGGCTAAAATAATTCCTTGTAAGTTTAAAAGAAAAAATGAATAAAAAAACACTTTATGTAGATAATAATTATATAAATAATCCCAAAAAAGACAAAATTATTAAACAACTGAAAATCTCTTCTACGTAATTAATTAATAAAATTCCTTAAATATGGAATTTCAAAGAAAGATTTCCAAATAAAAAAATAAATACATATTAAAATAGTCTACCCTGTAATTTAAAATTAAAAAAAAAAAATATTGTTCAAAATAAATAAATAAATAAAAATGCAAAAAGTTAAATATGTTTAAGTGAAGACGATAAAATATCAAAAAATATTTATTAAAAAGATAATATTTTACATAGAGATATACTAGAAGCTATATCTTAAAAAGATAGATAAATAGGAAATTAAATAAGTGAAAGTAGTGATTTAAGTAAATTCGAAAAAGTAAAACACTTGTTTAATCAAACACAAACTAAAAGTTAAAGTTAAAGATAATAAAGAGTTTATAATCATATATTAGTAAATTAAGAGAGCGGAATTATTTATAAACCTAATTTCTATTTGAATAAAAAAAAAAATAATAAAAAAAATATAAATAGCAATCAAACTTAATAATAAAATTTAAATTAAGAAAATGAAACCTAATTATTAAATAATAGCTTTTATGAAAATTACGAATATAATTTTTATTCCAAACAAGATTAATTTTCGAAGGCAAATACTAATAAAAATTCTTAAATTTAGCTTTAGCCGTAAAATTAAATCTAGGCTAGTCCTTAAGAAAAAACATAAACTGCTTAAATAAAAATACATTAATGTGATTAAACAGAAAATATTCTATAATAATAAATAAAGGAATAATAAAAAAATAAAAATTGGTTTAATTAATAACATGATGATTTTTTAAGTATCAAAAAAAATATATTTGTAAAAAACATTATGTAAATAAAAAAATATAATTCTTTTTCAAATTAAACTTTTTATTCTTAAAAAATAAAATAATCTCCAGTAAATATTTTTAATAAACTCATTTTAAATGAATAGTAGTAGAATTTCTATAGTAATAGTCTAACTTTAAAAAACAAATAAGTGTAATAATAACGATTTGATTAAAAAAATAAAAGTTTCCTTACTTATTGTAGTAAGACATAAAGATTTTACATATAAAGATAGAGTTTCTTTAAATGAATTTATTATATTTATATAAAATTATTATTATGTAAAAATATAAATTTATAATACATATTTATACTTTATTTTATGAAAAATTCTAAAATAAATATAAATAATATTTTATTTTAAAATACTTATAAAAACAAATATTCTTTAATAATTTTTTTTATTTTTTTATTTTTATATTCAAAAAAATAAAAAAAAAATAATGCGTTTTCCTTTTTTATTTTTTTTGAAAAATAAAAATATTTTACTTAAAAATATACAAAGTATATATGTAATAAATAAAAAAAAATTATAAACAATATACACAAAAAAAATTAAAATAGAAATTTTTTTTTTAAAAAAAAAATGGCAACCAGAAATCGACCGAGAAATTTTACAGAATCAAAGCTTTTTTAAGGGTAATTAAAATTTGTAACATAACCATCCTATTCTGAGTTTCTTAAAATAGACAAGAGTTAACAACCAAAGTAAAAAGAAGATTCAATAAATTCTCCTAATCCAAAAAATGAATGTCAATAAAAGAAAAACGATATAATAATACCGAAAATAATAACCTTAGAAAAGCAATAGAATAACGATAAAATTTAATTAAAAAAATATGGTTATTCATATTCAAGATTAAAAATGGAAGAAAATCTTCCTTTAGAAGAAGCCTTTGAATTAAGAGATAGAGACATAGAATTTTTTAACTAGTATAATAATAAGCAAACCGAAGATGAAAAAATAACACAAAAATAATTGGAAGAATTAATTATTTTTTTTGAAAAAAATTCGTCAAGATTTCATATTGAAACTTTTGAAAAAATAAAAGAAAATTATTTTGAAAATGAAAACTAATATTTAAATGAAAATAATTTATTTTAAATATATTCATACTGGAATAATCAAAGAGAACTTTAAAAAAATTTATCTTTTTTAAGAACTCATTAAAGGGCTGATAGATAGGAAAAAAGCCATCACATGGTATTTAGGTAAAGAGAAGAAAATTTTAAAATGAAAACAAGGATGAAATCGAAGCATGATGAAAATGAAACTATTTAAAAGATTAAACAAATGAATGATTAAGCAAGACAATTTTATTTACTTTCTATTAATGTTTATTAAAGAGAATTAATTAAAAAAGAAATTTCTTTAAAACTTGTTCAATAATTTGACGTTTATAAGGAAAATAATTTTTAATAAAATCTTATTTTTAATAATTTTTAATCAGAAAAAAAATAAATTAATGAATTAATGAATTTAATTTAAAATAAAAAAGTGAAAACTAATTTAAGAAAAAGGATTAAACCTAAATAAAAAATAATTAAAAAAATACAAGAAGGAGAATAAGAAGAATTGGAAGAATAAGAAGAATAAGAAGAATAAGAAGAATAAGAAGAATAAGAAGAATAGGAAGGATAGGAAGAATAAGAAGAATAAGAAGAATAAGTATAATAATTAAAATAATAACCATAAGTAGAAACATATTAGCAACTATAATTACAATAATAATAACAATAATAATAACAATAACAATAATAACAATAATAATAATAATAGTAATAATAATAACAATAATAATAATAATAGTAATAATAATAATAATAATAAATTGAATAATAAAAATAATAATAAAATTTATAATAATAACAAACTGAATAAACTTAATATGGATAAATTAAAGAAGAAAATGAATTGTAAATTTAAATAAATCCCAAGGCTAAAAAACCAAAGAGAATAAAAAAAAAATCAAAAGAAATAATTATTATGTAACCTTAATAACCCGAATAATAATTATAAATATAAGAACATGAAGAATAAAAGCAAGTATACCAAAATATTCAATAACCATTTAATAATACTATTTTAGACTAAATTCAAATTGGTGAAATGCAAATAATTTAACAAACGTAAAGTGAATAAAAAATAAATAAAAAAAAGAAAACAATATAGGATTAAATTCCTAAAATTTACACTTAATATTAAATCAATTAGTTTGTTTGTAATTTTTTTTAGTTTTTTGCAAGTAAAAATTTACCAATCACTACATAAAATATGCATGATATTTAACAAATTAATGGTTTAAATAAATAGCTTATAGAAGAAGATTAAAAAATTAATAAAAATGCTAATTGTATTTAATATTATATTAGAAAAAGATAAGGAAGGTCTAATTATGTTTACTTAGATAGATTATTTGATACCTCCTCTAGGGTAAATGGATTTGAAAATAATGAATATAGGTTTTTCTATGAAAATAATTAAATTCATATTAATAATTGTACTCGTACAAATACTTATTTTGATTCTGAAGGATAAAATTTAGTTTAAAAAAAAAAAATATATAATAAAAAAGTTAATAATTAATTTAAATAATATTTTAATTCTCAAAAAAAATATTATAATTAATACGTTTAATAAATTAATAATGAAAATGATGATTAAAATAGTTTTTAATAAACTTTAAGTAAATTAAAATAAAAAGTAATTTAAAAGCAATTAGAAAGATAATAAAAAAGTATGAATTAAATCAATTAATGAACTTATCTTTTCAAAAAAAAAAAAAAAAAAATATTATTGTAAAATAGAAATTATTGAGTTTTATTTATTAATTTATTTAATATTTAATTTATGTTTAACAAGAAAATATTATAGGTATTATATTTATTAATATTTATTATTTTAAATTAAAATATATTAAAAAAATTAAAAATTTAAAAAAGTATTGCTTTTATAAATCATATATATCCGAAATATGATTTTATAGAGTTTTTTTATAATGTAAATATAGTTTTTACTATTCTATTAAACTAAAATTTATGTATATATTTTTTTTATTTATATTTTTAATTTAATAAATGTATATAAATCTAATTAATTTAATATATCAAAAATTTGATTGAATATTTATTTTTAAGAAGACTTTTTTTTTAAATAAAAATGAAAAAATTATATTTTGTTTTGTCGATATTATCTTAGCTTATTTTAGCATATTCTGAATAAATTGAAGAATAAAAAAAAGACAAAAAATATATAACAAAGGGAAGTTTAGCAATATTTTTTATATTTATGACTTTAACTCTTGGAGGAATACTCAAAGAAATAAATAAACGTTTTTCTGTAAATAATTAAAAATATGAAGAAAAAATAATATTTATTCTCATTACTTATAGATTCCATATACACCTATGCTTTTTATGATTGGAATATTAGCAGGTATTTACCGTTCTAGTTTAGGTCTTATAGGGTAATCTGTAGAAACAATAAGTTCAATTGATCCTGTAATTTATCAATATAAAATGCTATTTTATTAAACATATAATTAAAATAGCATAGTATATTAATTATATTTTTGCCTGTATTAATTTTTGAAAGTGGATTTAATGCAGATTGGAATATATTTAGAAGACAATTTGGTTAGGTATTATAATTATATTAAAAGAAACAAATAAAAATAAAAATAAAGATATTTATTCTTGCTGTTCCCTGTGTAATGTTAGGATCTTCATTATTGATGCTTTGTATTAAAATAATTTTAAAATATTAAGATGAATATTACACATGGCCTAGTGCTTTTATGTTTGGCTCAATTTTATCTTGTACAGATACAGTTGCAGTATTAGCTTTATTAAAAGTATTTGATTTCTTTCTAAAAAAAAAAAGAAAAGAAAAAATTTTATTTTTAAATAAAAAAAGGAAATAGGTACACCTAAAAAATTCAATTCTTTAATAGAAGGAGAATCTATTTTAAATAATGGTACATGCATAGTTTTATTTAAAATATCTTCCATGATAATAAAAGGATAAATATAAAGCTTTCATTAAATAACACTCATATTTACTACTTTAACTATAGGAGGTATAATAATAGGAATAATTTTCGGTTTTATAAGTTCTTTTTGGATAAAGCGTATATTCAATGATGAAATACTTGTCATAAATATAACACTAATAAGCTGCTATCTTGTTTTTATTGTGGCTGAAAATATTGATTTCGGAATTAAAGTAAGTGGAATAATAGCAATTATAAGTTTAGGTCTTTTTATGGCTGCTTCCGGTAAAAAAAGAATTGCAAATGAAATAGATTGGGCTTTATAATGTTTTTGGAAATACGTTATTTTTTGTGCTGAAACAGTCATTTTTTTTCTATCTGGAGTTATTGTTTCTATAGAGATTTCTAAATCTACAAATATTATTTAGGTTGATGACTATTATAAACTTGGAGGTTTGTATTTATGTATGGTTTTGTCTAGATTCATATCTATTTCTACTTTTATTTATTTTTTAAAATATTGGGGTTATGGATTAACTTGGAAAGAGGTTTATGCTCTCACTTGTGGAGGACTTAGAGGAGCTGTCGGAATTTGTTTTGCCTTGATAGTTTATAGAGATGAGAGTTTTTCAGTTTAATTAAGATAACTTGTACTTTTTGATATGGCTGGAAACGCTGTTTTAACTTTATTAAGTTTTTGTTTTTATATTATTTATATTATATCAATAAAAAAAAGTAAATGGAACAATAACAGTACCTATTGTGAAATTTTTGGGACTATGTACATCTTCAATGATTAGGGATAAATTATATTAGAATTTTTTGGAAAATAAAATGAAATAAGATTTATATGAATAATGGGAACTTTTAAAAGATTGTAAATTTTTGAAAGATGCAGATTGGGATTAAGTGAAAAAATACTGCGGAGAAGATTAAATTAATTTTTAAATTGAAAATTTGAAAAAAAAAATTGAAAAAAAATAGCTATAAGAAAAAGAATTTAAAAATTTAAATAAAAACAAAAATATACTTAAATAAGTGTAAAATTGTTATTTATTTATCAAATAAATAATTAAAAAATATCTATATATATAAAAAATAAGACTTTTAGAGGATTAAGAAAAATAAGATGAACTAGATTAAATAGATGAAGATGAATTAGATTAATAATTAATTATTGAAGTAAGGAATGTTTTTTTGAGAAGTTTAAAAGTATTTTAAAATAATATAAAAAACCAGAAATTAAAATAATAAAAAAAAAGGCTTCTTTTTGGAATTTATTTGAAAAAAATTAATGTACAGGATAAAGTTTACTTAGTCTTATAGAAACAGTAGATTGGGATTTAGACAATGAAGTTTCTTAAATGCATACTTGGGATTGGCTTAAAAGATAAATTGATGAAAATTATATAAATTTTATATTTCAATTAAGAAATTGGCCTATAATAGGAAGATTTGCAAAAAAAAAATTATATAATTATATAGCTTAAATTTATGATATGATTTCTTCTTATATTGAAGCACATGAAATAGTAGAAGAAAGTATATGTGATGTATAAAATATTAATATTATTTTTATATTTTCTTTAAAAATAATAATATTATATATACATATAAATATTTATATACAGATTTAATTCGATGAAAGGTATGTAGCTGAAATCTTAATAGAATCACAAGAAAATAGAAAATAAGCAGAAAGTTATCTATATAATTATTTAGATGTAAGTTTTCCTGAAATAAGTAAATCAATTAGGACTAAAAAAGCTGCCTATACTATTCTTGAATTTTAAAAAGGTTTTTTGTTATCTTTAAATTTAATATAATTATATAAATATTATAAATTAATCAGATTATATTTAAAAAAATGCTGATTCAGGATAATTAGATGAAAAAGAACATTTAGAATTGAAAAAAAAAGTTGATTAAAATATTATCAGATTAAATAATTTTACACCGTCATGGGTATTACTTCTTAATATTATATTTATCATTTATATCTTTCTTTTTATATAATAAATTATAAAATATAGTCAGTTTCTAAATAAAGATAAATACTAGAAAATTTTTAATTTTTTTAATTGATTCCAAAAAATATAAACAATAAAATCGATCATTTAGCTGAACTAGTAAAAGAAGCTAAAGATGAGGTTTTTTAAAAAGGCAATTTCGTTTTCAAAGTAAAAAAAATAAAAAATTAAATAAAATAAAATAAAATAAGTAAGGAGAAAGATCAAATAATATATTTATTATAACCAGAGGAGGAGGCACTGAATTTTCAGAAGGAGAATCAGGTAATTTAAGGATAAAAAGAGGAGTTGGACATATACTTCCTATTTAATAATTAGCTACTGTAAATAATAGATATTTAACAAGTTTTATAAAATAAAAATTAATATATACTGATAATATTTATATAAATGTAAACTAAAAGGTTTTTAAGCTGATTGTATATTATAAACCAGTTGTATTAGTTTATAGTCAATAATTAATTTAGTTAGGAAGCATCCAGATTTAGAAAATTTTATAATAAAAGAAAGTATACCTGCATTATGCAAAATTTTCTTTGAATAATTTAAGCCCCTTTCTTATTTTGAAAAGTCTGTGATTGAATAAATTGTTAATGAGTCAACAATATCTAGATATAAATAAGATTCTCGAATAAATTTACCTAATGGAGCGATTTTATATAAAGGTTTTTTTAATTCTATATAATTTTCAAAATATTTTTTTTATTTAAATTTTTATTTATTTATTTTTTTTAAAAAAAGGTGAATTAGAACTTTTAAGTAAAGATTAATTAGATGAAGAATAAATTTAAGATCAAAATTCTATATTTTAAGATCAATCTTAAATTTAAATTGGAGAAAGAAATCTTGCTAATGAGTAAGATATAAATAATTTACCTTAAAAATACGAATATGAAGCTTTTTCAGTAGTTATGCCTAATAAATATTAACATTAATTTGTAGCAAATAAAAACTGTCTTTTATTAGAATTTAATTAATATGATTAAATTAAGGAATATATGCTAATGCAAAAATAAGGAGATAAAAGAAAAACAAGCATTAGGAAAATGATGGATATAATTTCTTAAACTAAAAAAAATACATTTAAATAATGAAAACTTATTTTTAAAAAAATATATGAGTATTTTTTATTTATTTATAAAGAAAATTAATTATAAAGTTTTATAAAATCATTTATTTGTATATTGTTTTTGTGTTATTACATTTTTTTGAATTAAACTAATAGATAAATTAAAAGGTTAATAAAAAAATTAATTTTATTATATTTTTTTTACTTTTTATATTAAATATACTATTTTTCTATTTTTTAATAATTTAATAACAAATTATATCATAGTTATTTTATAAATAAATATTAATTTTTTATATTTTGTTAATATTTTTTTTATTTTTATGTTTATTTATATTAATATAATAATAATAAATTTTGATTATATATAAAAGTATTTATTTTTAAAAATAGGTTACATTTAAGTTTAATGAAATTAAATTTTTATAATTCTTATGATTTAATATATTAAAATAAATCAAATTTATTTAACTAATTTAACAATAAATATTATTTTACATAAGTTATTTTAAAGAAATAAAATTTAATTTGCTTTCTTAATTAAAATATTAAATGTATATATATATATATATATATATATATATATATATATATAAATAAATAAATTAATATTTATTAACATTTAATATTAATCTATATTAATATATTTAAAATTTATTATAAATGATTATTTATATTTTATTTTTTTAAATAATACTTTGAAAAATGTTTTAATAAATATGAAAAATAAAAGAAATATTACAAACTGCAAAAAGTCTATATTTTCTTAGTAAATATTCAAATTTTAAAAAAATAAAAATTAATTATATATAGAAAAGCAAAAAGAAGCTATATGTTTTAACCAATAAAATTAAGAATTATTTAAAAAAAATATATTTTTCTAAATTAAAAGCAAAATAGAAAACTATATTTTAAATAAATCATAAGTATAATTTAAATGAATAAAAAAAATTAAAATATTAGTTCTAATGTAATATAATAAAATTATATAATACTAAAAAATTCCTTTATTACTAATTAAATAAAAATTAAATATTTAGATTAAATTAATTTAGTATCGAAGGCGATGTTGGAAAAGGTATTTTTAATACTACAAACAACAAAATAATAACATATGAAATAGTTAAATTAGCAATAAAAAAATAACACCCAAAAAACCAAAAATTTATAAATAAATATAAAATTTTAAAAAATTAACATTATTAGTAAACTAATAATTTATAAAGACAAAAAATTGTAAAATCAAGAAATTATAAGTAATTATGATATTTTTTTAAAATAAAAAATAATAAAAAAAATATCAAATATTTCAATTTATGATTATTTATTAAAGATAAAAAAATATTAAAAATTTATAGAAAGAAATGAATTGAACTAGTAATTAAATAAATAAAAAATTAATTTGATTTTTTAGATTAAAGCATTTATACAAAGGGATATATAATTAGAGAATATATTAATTAATTTAAAAAAAAAAAAATAAAATAAAAAAATTAGATTAACCATAAATATATAGTAATAAATAAAAAATTTAAATGTGCACTATAAAAAAAGCCATAGAAATAATAAAAAATAAGAAAATTAATAAAAAATAAAATGTAGTATTAGAGAATTTATATAAATAAAATTGATTACTAAAATTTTTAAGAGTATCTAAAGATTCAAAAAAAAAAAAATAATAGTAAATTTTTACAATTTAAATGTTATAAAATATGTAATTAATAAAAATAATATAAAATAAAATATTAATATAATTGACTAAAAATTAATCTGAAAAAAAAAAAAATATTTATATAAAAATATTTAAATGATTAAATATATATATATAAATATTTTATAAATAATTTATTATATATATATATATATATATATTTATTATAATATTTA